ATTTTCCCACTGTTTCCCTCCCCTGCCCTACTTTTGGCTAAATTTCATTCCCTTTTCATTTGCAAATGTTCCCAAGTTAAAGGAAGCCTCAGCGTTGAATTTACAAGATCTGAGCATGGCTGTCAAAGATAGGACATTTTGGACTGTGTTCCTTTCGTAAGATTGCACTAAGCTGGAGATGACTTGACTGCACATGACATCAACCGTTCTAATAGCAGCCGGCTCCGAACAATGGGCTGCAAATGCCTCCAGCTGGGTTCTAACGATTCCAGTCATGAGAGCGTCTGACTTCAGTGCGCTCAAATCCTCAGCATGGCTCTCCAAAGACATAGACCGGACCAGCCCTGCAAAAGGAGAAGAAAATAGTAGTTTGTGGAATTAAGCCTAAGAGGAGCTGTATTTCACTGAATTCACCTCGAAGTGTCATCGTGAACTTTAATGCCTTGCCCCTCAATGCATGGAAACCCAACGATGTCTACAGAATTTCGCAGAGGCTTGTTAGCAAGCAGCTCAGTAGGGCTGGAGCCCCCCATCTCTGGGAGGCCATCTAGCCCCCCCCCCCACCCCCGCTCTCCATGGGCACTTGCTGAAATAGGCGTCCCCAGGCCCTGATTATCTTTTCCAGAGGTCCCCCTAGATTAGCTTGTTTATTGCCTTCGTGGACATCAGGTCCTGCTGCCTCCACCCCTGCCTACAGGTCTCCCTTTTGCCTCCAATCGAATGCCCTCCATCCTCTCCATACTTCCCTTTTTCCCCAAATGGGGTGTCCTTGGCAAGCAGGGTCCTCACAGGGGATCACTTTAGAGTATATGTAAATAAACATATGCAAATTTGTGTTTATGAATGCGGAGGGAGATTGCTGTGGGTCTGTGATCTTTTTGGTACCGAGCATGGACCTGGAATTTAAGGGAGGATCTTAGGAGTGTGTGTATAAGAGAGTGATCAAGATCCGCAATCCACTTAAAGGTAAGAAGGTAAACCATTTAAACGGAACGAGTCTAAGTAAAGGGGTTTGATGCTGCCCTGAGGACGACCCAATCCAGATAGGAAAGCTCCGAGAGAGCTTTTGTTTTGGAGTTTGGCGGCGCGGTCCGCTTCGGTCCTGAGCACGAAGCCCCCGAGCCCCGCTAATTTCCCCTTTAGCGGCCATTAGTCTGCAATGCTCGGGCCAAAGCTCCGCTGAACGCGGCTGGATTTCCCGCGATGCTTAGGATGGGCGCCATGCCTCTCTCTGCTCCCAGCTCAAAGTGTTAAGTGAGTCCGGGAAACGGCACTGGCAGAGCAATCCCACCAGGGACAGTCCCTCGGGGTGCGCTGCCGCTGACCCCTCACTCCTCGGGTTGCGCTGCCGCTGACCCCTCACTCCTCGGGTTGCGCTGCCAAGAGATGTCCCCGGAGGAGGCAACAAGAAAGGAGGCGGGGCTTATTCCGCACTGAAGGGCAGGGCCTTGCGCTGCATCCTGCGGGAAGCGGCCACAGGGTTGCTTCCGAAAGCCCTGCCTTGGCCTGCTCCGCGTCGCGTCGCTCGGCAGCGGCTGCGAAGGCCGCCCGCACACCGGGCGTCTGAGCCAGCGCCCTGCCCGGGCGAGCCTGCCGCAAGTGCGGAGGAGGCGCGGGGGAGCGAGGCACCCCACGGAAGAGCGAGGCGCTTCTCGGGCCAGCTTTGCCAGGATGGCCTGGGAGGCCGCGGGTCCCCCCCCTCCTCCTCCCCCCCCCCCCCCCCCCGCGAGGCGGGGATCCGGGGGCTGCCTCTTCTTGACAGGTTTTCCTCTAATTGCTCCGTTGTGTATCATCACCAGAACCGTTGAAATAGCTCGACCTGCACGCGTCCCTTCTTAGCGTTTTAAATACATCTTTAACGGATGAGCGGGGATTGCGAGCCAGCTGGGACAGGGGAGCCTCAAAATTATATGACAAAAGGGAGACAGACCTCAGGCGAGTCGAGGACCACAATTTGTCTAAACGAGTGAGAAGACTCATAAACTGTCTGCCTTTGCCCGCCCAAAGGCCTCCCACCATGCACGGACCGGCGGGGGGGGGGAGGCGCGCGGAGGGCATTATTTTTGCCTTGTTAACACCGACTTTTCAAAGGTGAGGACGGAAAAGTGCAAAGCGATTTAATAAACACGGAGGCTAGAACAGCTACAAGTTCCATAAATCAATTATATGTTAAGATCGTGCGTTTTGCGTACATGTGTGTACGCATTTCCCAGTCGACGTGCACAGGATCGTGTTGCACGGTGCGTAGGATGGGGTGCTAGTCGGATATTCTAAACACGGTAGAGCATAACTCCGTTTAACCCTGTGGGAGTTACAGCAGAGTAAATGCCCAGCTTTGTAAACTGCCACAAATCGTCCCGATAGGATACATCAAAAGCCTCTCCCTGAAAATAAATATTAACTGATCTTTCAGAGATGTTCGTATATTTTTGCTGATGTAGCTTTAACAAAAAGTACAACTGATGGATTTGTACAGCCTTTTAAAAGTTCAAAGGAGTTGCTTTTAAATTAACTAAAAGTGCATTCATAATGATTTTTAAAATTCTTGGTAGCTGAAGAACACCTAAAGAGCCTAAGCAGTTAAATAACTGCAGTCTTTCTCTCTCATATTCTTTCCTTTTAAAGTAGCCTGAACTTTTGTTTTGTTTTCTCTTTTTTCCACGTCTGGTTTTGACTTTTACAGAACCCATTAGGTCGGAGCAGTAGAGAAAAGTAGAGAAAAGTCTCCGGCATCCTCAGCCCTTGGGCAACCTCCGCTCACCTCCCAGCAGAGGAGATGGGGCGGGGGTGGGGCTCCTGGGGCGTCTTCCCACTTGGAGATCGGGGGACAGCGGGATGCGACCACCTCCAGCTGCCTGGAAGAAAGGGCGATGGGTCTCCAGGGCGGAGGAGCTTGCTCGGACTAGGGATAAGTGGCTCAGCCAGCGCGGGTGCCGCTGCATTGTGGCCGGTGAGTGTTTACATTGCGCGGGGGCGCGGGGGAGGGAAGAGGCTGAGCCCCGGCGGGCTGCGGGGCCTTATTCAAGCTCTCCAGCCATCGGGCGAGGCGGAGGGGCTGCCCCGTGCAGCTTGGGGGCCGCTCACAAACTGTTGTTGTTGTGCCTGGCCCGAAGCTCGCAGGGCCCGCCCGCGCCTTCCCTGCGCCTGCCCTGCACCAGCTGTTGCGAGCGCTGTCACTGCGGCGGCCGTGCGCGCGGCGACCGCGCGCTCGCCCTGTCTCGGGGCCCGGGCTCGCGTGCCATTGGCCGCCGCAGCCGGGAGGGCGGGCGCCCCGCGCCGCGCCGCGCCGCTTCATTGAGCGGAATCCGCCGGCGTGACGTCACTCGCCGGCCCCGGCTGCCCCGCGCTCATTGGTGCGCCCGCCCGCCCGTGGCTCGGACATTGTTCTGCGCGGCGCGGCCGGGCAGCGTGCCTATAAAAGCGCGCGCGAGGCGCCGGCAGGGCTCGTCCTGATCGCCCTGGCACAGCCCCGGCGGCGCTGGAGCGGACCCGGCCGGCCACAGACTCCCCGCCCGCCGACTGTAAGTGCTGCATCCCCTCCGCCCGCCCGCCCGCCGGCGGCTCCCTTCCCCGCGAGGCTCTCGCGAGGGCGCCCCCCCGGGCCCCCCTCGCCTGCCCCGTTCCGGCGCCCGGGAAGAGGCGCGCGCCCCGGGCGAGTCTCCTCGCCTGCCGCAAAGTCGCTGCCTCGCGGAACTCACTCCCAACTTACTCCCGAGCGATCGTCCTTTGGCGATGCAGCTGCTGCTGGCATTTGGGAACCGTGAGAGGCCGGGTGTGCTTAGGGGAAAGGCAGAAAGTGCCCGGAAGGGTCGATTACCCATGGGCGGCGAAATATTTCTTCTAGGAAACTCTTTTTGTCCCTCCTTTACTAAGGAGAAATTCATTTTCTTGGAGGCGGCCCGGGTAGATACCTGTGGAGACCCCTCTCTCTTCTCTCTCGGCCAAAAATCCTTGTAGTGGGATACCTTTCTTAGGAAACTCAAAGATTATCCCAAACACGGGCGCAATAAGCTTTGGCCGGTTCAGGAATCGACTCTAGACTTAGAGGCAGGAAAACGCGCAAGCCGCGACGTTCAGCGGTTCTAAAATACCTTGCTGGCTGTGGTGGTCGAGGTGCGCAGCTGCAGCTGCTCTCCGCTTGCGAAGATCCTGCTTTGGCAAGGAAGTTTCTCCCAGCACGATCCCAGTAAGACACACTTTCTGGTATGAATACCCTACCGGGAGGTGTGTGTAAATGTGGCAGAGAAATGGGGTGGGTAGGTGCGCAGCTGAGAGTTTTAATTCTGTTTTCTGCTGCTTGGCAGTGTGGCCCGTGAAAGAATAGGCAGCGCTTGCCGGGTTGTCTTGAGTTTTTGACTAGGAGGTTGCACTCGGACGCACAAAGCGGTTAAGCCGGCTCTTAGACTACAAACCACCACCTGCTTATGTTGGACTAAATCTTATTTAATTCCAAAGTACTTACTTCTAGGTAGATAAGTATGGGATTGCATTGTTAATCACCCTTTTTCGGAATCAAAGATTGGATTTAGAACCCACCGCTTCAGGTGGTTATTTCCTCCTCCTACAGGGAGCTCTTGGGGATTAAGGATGCTGGGTTTTTTAAATGTATTCCACCATTAACACATTGGTTAACACATCCAGTCAAACAAATTCGGGACTAAATCCCACTGAAATCCGTGGAGTTTAATTTCCTTCCCATAGCTGTCCGCTGGCATGAATCCAGACTAACGTTTGCTGGGTTGCGCTGTAGTCGGGCGAGCAAAAGTCCCCGCCGGAAGCGAGGGGTGCGCCTCGGAGCCGTGCTGACCGGGAAGTCGGCCGCGCCGGAGGCGAGGAGCGCAGCCGAGAGGCGAGGCAGAGCCCTTCGCCCTTCGCCCTTCGCCTCCGACGGGGGGCGGGGGGGGCCGCCGCGGCGCGTGGCGTGGCGTGGCCCGTCTGACGCGGGCCGCCTGTCCTCTTGCTCCCCTCCGCAGGCAGCCAGGTGCGCGGGCCAGCCCAGCATGGACTCGGACGCGAGCCTGGTGTCGAGCCGCCCTTCGTCCCCGGAGCCCGATGAGCTCTTCGCGTCGGCCAGGGCCAAGAGCGGCGGCGGCGGCGGCGGCGCCTTCGCGGCGGGCGGCGCGGTGTCCAGCTCGACGCCCAGCGATTCCCCGGCCGAGCTGAGCGCGGAGCTGCGCAGCGCCATGAGCGCGGCCGGGGTGGTGATGGTCGACAAGCTGGCCTTCAAGTCGCCCTCGTCGTCGTCGTCCTCCTCCTCCTCCTCGTCGTCGTCGTCGTCGGCCTCCAAGAAGGACAAGAAGCAGATGACGGAGCCGGAGCTGCAGCAGCTGCGCCTGAAGATCAACAGCCGCGAGCGCAAGCGCATGCACGACCTCAACATCGCCATGGACGGGCTGCGCGAGGTGATGCCCTACGCGCACGGGCCGTCGGTGCGCAAGCTCTCCAAGATCGCCACGCTGCTGCTGGCGCGGAACTACATCCTCATGCTCACCAACTCCCTGGAGGAGATGAAGCGCCTGCTCAGCGAGATCTACGGCGGCCACCACGCCGCCGCCGGCTTCCACCCGGCCGCCGCCGCCGCCGCCGCCGCCTGCCCGGGCGGCATGGTGGGCCACTCCGCGCCGCTGCCCAGCCACCCGGCTTCCCACGCCGTGCACCACCCCATCCTGCCGCCGGTCGCCGTCTCCAGCGCCTCCCTGCCCGGCTCCGGCGGCCTCTCGTCCATCCGGCCCAGCCACGGCCTGCTCAAGTCGCCTTCCAGCGCTGCGGCGGCGGCCGCGGCAGCCGCGGCCGCCGCCGCCGCCGCCGCCGCCTCGGCCCCTCTGGGCAGCAGCTTCCAGCACTGGAGCGGCATGCCCTGCCCGTGCAGCATGTGCCAGGTGCCCGCCCCGTCGCACCACCACGTCTCCAGCATGAACGCGGCCAGCCTGCCCAGACTGACCAGCGACGCCAAATGAACGCGGCGGGGCGCGGGGGGCGGCGGGAGGCGCCCGGCCAGGGCCCCCTCTGGGGAGGGAGCCCGCCCCCAGGACCTACAAGCCCTCGCCCGCTTCACGCCCGCCGCCGCCGCCGCCGCCGCCGCCGCCGCCCCAAGAACAGTGACCGCCTCCCCCCGCCGCAGCTCGGCCCCAGCACTTACTGGAGGTCGCGTCCGAGGCACGGGAGGCGAAGCGGCGGGGAGGGGAGCCCCCCGTGCCCGGCGCGGAGCCCCGCCGAGATGTCGCCGCGCGCGGATCCAGCTCCCTGCCGCGGCTCACTCCGGCCTCCGGCCCAGTCGTGTGTAAAACTCACGTGTGTCGCTCTTCGGAATCGTGTGCTCCGATTCGGGTTTTGTTTTGTTGTTTGAACGATAGAAAGGGGTGCAACTGGGGCTAGGCACGCCTTTCGATCCAGAGGAGCCCAAGCTGCCAAGTATTATCCCCCCCTCGAATATTTCCTTCGAATTGCTTGGGGATGGGAGTGGTCCTGACAGCCTTGGTCAAACCGAGCTATGGGAACCCTGGGTCCGGTTTATCACACACGTCGTATGTGAGAACTCTGTCCTTTTGAAATCGATGGTGTTTACTTGCAAGTAAATGTGCCGAAGGGTTGGGAGCTGTAAGGAAGCAAATGCCACCGAAGTGGTCTCAGAACCGGATTCGGTGTTTACACAGGGCCTCCCTTCCTCTTTATAGATGTAGGATTGGGTCGGAAGTATTGATGGAAATAAACCCCGCTGATTTTAGAATAGTTTACTTCTACCGGATGCCAATCGCAGGAGCAGGCGCAGCTGGCTTCAGGTGTCTTCCAAGTAACAGCCCGGACCCGAACTCACTACGTGGAAGTGACCCAACCAGGAATCTGACCCAACCAAAGTTAGGGGGTGGGATTTTGGTTTAGTCATAGGTAGAGCAGACCCATTGGAATCAATGGGACTTCTGTTAGTCGCAACTAATCTGAGCCCCATTGCTTTCAGTGGGTCTACTAATTCTGGATCCCACCCCAGCAGTTTTTTTAAAGATCCGACTCCAATGTGCGTCCGGCCAAACGCCGTGGGGGCAAAGGTATTTCTGGAGGCATCACAGCTTTGGGGACGCAGGGAGTGAAAGCCTTGGCTGGACAGAGAGACTGTGCTCTTCAGGGTCGTTTCGCAGCTGCGGCGTTTACAGCGTGTGCGAGGCTCAAGTTAAGGCTGTGCGTTTGTTGTTTCTTCTGAGGTGTTGTGGGGGGGGGCACAATTACATACGCTCCCCAACGTGGAGCAAGGTGGGTTCCTTTTGAGCTTTCTGGTCACTTGGGCTTGTTCTTCAAAACCTTTAATGGGTTAACCCTGCGATCCTATACAAGTTTTCTCAGAAGTAAATTCCACTGAGTTCAGTGGGGCTTACTCTCAGGTAAGTGGGCATAGGATTTTAGCTCAAGGTCCCGTCTCTCTCCTCCTGTCTCATTTCTTCTTCTTCAGGATGGGTAACACTTCCCTTTTCTCTCCAGACTTAACAGTTTCTCACCCGTCTCCAAAAACAGCCCATGCAAGAATTCCCTGTGTTGTTTGTGTTGCAATACTCTGAGCCCCTGCTCAGCTTCTGAATAACCACTTTTTTCTTCTTCTCTTAGTGCTGTCACCTTCAAGAGAATTTTTTATCACCTGTTTATTTTTATATATATATAAAAATAAAGAAACGAAAAAGTTGCTAAATAATATTTATTGTTTGGTTGCAAAAAAGGATCCACTGTTGACATTTTTAAATAATAATAATTAAAATAATGAATTATATGATAGTTTCTGTTCATTTCTTTAGTGGAACTTATTAGAAATACAAACAGTGCTTTGGTTTCAGCAAGAAAGAGTAGAAACTGACGAATCGTCACCAGCAATGGAGAGAGACGGGAAAAGCAACGGAAGTTCTTAGCTGTTTTCTGAGAAGCAAATCCCCTTAAGTTCAATTGAAATTTATAGTGGAATCAAGGTGCCTAGAATTGGGCTTCAAGGTTTACATGCCATTTTAGTCCTGCTTAAAGCAGACCGTTTGCAATATTGGACACCACTGTTCTGCACACACTGAATCCGACTAGGCTCGGTGAAGGGGGAATGGGGGTCACATTACAGTCACCTGATCCGAATTCATTCTCGAAGGGCCATCTTGCCACCCGGAGGACAGCCTCCTGATACCACGCACGCCGGGAGGCAAGTCCTTCTGTGTTCAGCGGGGCTGCCCAGTAAGCAGTTTCGACGTTCTGGCCTTAACCAGATCCTGAGATCTATGTCCAAGTAACTCTGCAGGCAGCCAGAGGCTCATGGGATCCTGGGGGCTTTATTCTCAGCCTTAGGAGCGGGGTTTTAGGCCGAGAATTGTTTTGTGTGATGTTCTAGGAAGACAGTGAGAAATTGTCATCCAAGAGCGGAAAATAGATTATGCATTTTGGAGAATTACGTAAGCCGCACATCCTTTCATTTCGTTTGTAAACTGTCTCTGGAGCATCATCCAATCTATACGAAAAACAAATACTGTAATAAATCCTAGATCACACCCCTCTTTAGTCAGTCCTAAGCACACAGGCTGGGAACTGGGGCAGGCCAGGGGGGTGTCCAGAGCCATCAATTCCTAACCTGAAAGTTGCGTGTCCACCTGCCTTGTGACGACCTGCGCTGCATATGTCGCCCGAAGGGTGGAAACACAATGGAAACAGGGAAGAAAGCGATCGAGACACCAGCTAGTTTGAAAAGGCACCACCAGGTCTGTTCGTAGTCTGGGGATTTTTCAGCCATAGGTGCAGAGGTGGAGTCCTGCCCTTGGGCGCCCGCATGATCTCAGCGTATCTCCAGCACTTGCTCTGGACAGAGGTGCAGCTGGAGAGTGTTAGACCCTGGACCTGAAATGCGATCCTGCGCTTGTTTGCACATGCAGACGAATGCAGAACTTTTGCCCTGTCGAAACATGCGCAGGACTGTGCCTGTAATAGTGCTCGAGGTGCCCCTCCACCTTTTTGACAACCAGGCGTGAAACACACACCTAGCAGTTTACCACCCCACCTTCCATTTGATTTAGGAATAAAACTCTTTTGTTTGCACAAAAGAATAGCATACTTAAAGTAGAATTAAGAAGATGAGACTCTGGAAACATGCACAGGTCTGGCTGGCTGCTGCCTCTAACAATACGAGGTAGATAAGAGCGTGTATATATCTACCTGTCTTTTCATTTGGGCAGCGGCCAGCAGGACCTGTGTGCACGCATGCGCAGAAGACTGCAGAGACCAGCATCAGCCCTGGTGGGCTTCTGCATGTCCATGGCGGGGCCACCATGCCCACGGCGAGCCTTTTTGCGGCTGCCTCCGCCTCGGGCTGCACTCCGGGTGGTCATTTGGGGCCCTGGACTGGATGTTGACTTCTGCTCCAAAGCCCAGCTCTAGCTGCGTTAGTTCTGGTGGATCCAATGCAGGCCCAGGAGCGGATAACAAGCAAAACTGTGCTCGTTTGGGTTTTACAGAGCATCTTGCAGTAGGCTGAGATTGTATGAATCATGCTTTCTTGAACGAGCTGCCTCAAGAACCTAGACACACACGCCAGCAGCTCCTTGCACAGGCTGGACTCCCATGAGGCGAGCTTCTGTTCCAAACTGTAGTTCGTAGATTTATTTACATTCGGTGGAAGTCAAGCCTCGGAAGCGCTGTTGATTTTGCTGAATTTGTTTGTAAGTAGAGGAGTTTCCCTGAAATCTGTGAAACTTGGATGACAAGCAATGTGGGTGACCAGACTTGAAGCAGAGCAGCAACTTACGTTTTAAATACCCCTGCTTGTATTATTTTGTATAATGTAAAAGTTTCTGCTTGTTTTTCTTCTTATGTTTGTTAGCCGCCTTGAGCTCCATTTGCCTTTGTGGAAAAGCGAAGTACAAATCAGCCATCAACTAAAATTCAGAATCTGCCAAAGCAGACCTGAAAATAAGTGTCTAACAAAGCAGGCCGTGAACTACAGGACTTCAGCCCAGTTACTGAAATGTACCTAGCTCAGTACTTTTTGGTCATGGAGGTGTTTAACTTCTAAAATTGCTGCTGGCCTCTCCTCTGAAAATTACACATTACCTCCACCAGCTTCCATCAAGTTTTTAGTCTGATTGCTTTTTTTTCTCGGTGGGGGGGGGCAATGACGTAGCTCCATGCATTTTAGGATTTGATAGTCACTGCTGCAATGATGAAGGGAGCCTGCTCCTCCAAGCAGCCCTTGCTCAGAACATACAACAACAAAATTCAATGATTTAGAGGTGGGATGCGGAGGCTGAACGTGCTGAAGTTCTCCCTGCAGACGTAGCAAACTAAATTCGAGTTAAGGCGCATAACCAGATTCTCAAACTCTGACCAACTCTGAGCATAAGCAAAATGTTCCTTCCTACCCTGAAAATGTGGGCTGAGCTACCCAGAACCCTGTGAAGGAGTGATTTTCACGCAGGCTTAAGCTGCAGCACCTGCCATTTTAGAAATCAAACCTTGAAGATCAGATTTCCATGCATGGTTAGGGCTCTGGGTTCTATCCCGTGGGTTTGATTAATAGGCGACGCCTCCTCCAACCTGCTGTACGGGAAGAGGACGGGTGACCGGCTCTAGCGCTGCAAGAGAGGCGCCGAAGGCAGCTGCCGCGTTCTCGCCGGCTGAGGTTGGTGCAGGATCCGGGTCCAAAAATAATGTCCTTTTCCAGCTCGCAGAGGAAGGTCGACTGCAGAGCAGTTCACAACATATAAAATGCGCATACAGGAATCTCCTCAACAGCACCTGCAGAAATATCGCTTCACGAAAATCCTGTTCTGAGGGGATTCACTTGGGAAATCGATTACAAAAGGCAGCCTGCTTGGGTAAACTTTGGAGTCTCCTGAAGCGGGATGTTATCTTGTATGCAGATAATCAAATATCCTATGCAAAAAAAAAAAAAAAAAAAAAGGGGGGGGGGGGGGAGGAAACAAGACAAGCTAAACAGGACACACGGTTT